ATTCCATATGGTCTGTTCTGCATCTCGTTGTATGTCTATAGTGCATGATATTCTGCAGCGACGAGATGAATTGCGGGAGGCAGGGAAAGCGCCGTCTGCCGCTCATGCTTCCAGGCGCCCAATCTTCGTCTGGGAGCCTGTCCCCGATCTCTGCACTCCAGAAGAACAGGATAAGTTCTTCGCCGCAAATAAAGTTGTGGATGTGGTGAGTCCTAACCACATGGAGCTTGGCATGATGTTTGAGCATCCTGGTTGGACCGAGAAGAGCCAACTAAGCCAGCAGCTAGTCCAAAGGATTACAGACTCCGGCATTGGCCCCGATGGAAATGGCATGCTAGTTATCAGGGCAGGAAAGGATGGTAGCTACGCCTACTCAAAGTCTAGCAAGATTTGGCTTCCCGCATATCATCAACCCGATGCCTCAGGTGCTACGCCTGTGGTTGACCCCACGGGTGCGGGCAACTCTTTCCTTGGTGCTCTAGCCCAAGGCATGGTCACCGAAGGCCGAGAGCCATTCCAGGTCATTGGCTCTGTTCTATCAAATTCCGAAACTTGGAAGAAAGCCCGTGATTCTTGGGGGAATTACCAACACTATCCTATGGCGCTCATTTGCGCAACCGTCGCAGCTGGCTTTGTAGTCGAGCAAATCGGTGTGCCACAAATCGACGTTGATGGAAACGGAAAGGAATTGTGGAATCAGTCTGAATTCACGGAACGTGTCCGCCTGTACACGCAGCGATTCTTGAGGACACTTGACGAGTCTCCTCAGAGACATCTCTTAGTCAATTGACCAATGGCCCAATGAGGAACGCCCTTTTATTGTCGTACAGCACACAAGTGATCAAATAGTAGAAAAACAAAAAGAAAAGGTTCCGTCCTGCTGAGAATCCGCCTACAACCGCCGTCCAATATGCTGGACCTTGTTCATGAGTCGTTCTTGGCGGCTTGTTGGCTCTCGTGTTCCCGAATTTGCCTGCTCCAGCTATAAACCAAGAAAAGTAAAGGTCAGCATAAGGTATACCAAGTGACATGGGGTTCGGGTAACGGACTATCGGCTGGGGAAGAAACGGCCGGGCTCGGGCATCTTGTCGCGATATTCCCGATCAGCGCTGATGCTGAAGGCGACAGCAGCGACACCAATGACAAAGGCGCCCATGATCGCAGTGTTGGCCCTCCAGTTAGCTGGCTGGGCGTACCAACCACCAGAGGGGGACCAAACTTCCTTGGGGTACCTGCCAGGTCGAATCCATTAGCTCCTGGTGGGGTTATGAAAATCACGGGAACGTACGGAATCTTTCCACCTCCACCCATTGTGACGAAGATGCAATTGAAGGGGTTGTTAGGGAAATAAAGCGAGCGTAGGGCTTGTAGTTCTTGAAGGTGGAAGCCGAAAGGGCCGTCTCGGTCGCAGGTCTGATGCCAAGGCGCTAGGTCCACATTGGGTTTAGCGCAACCTCACACGACTTGGCCATCCCGTGACTGCCGCGACAATTTCTCTTCTCTCTCGTTGTTGGTATGCTAATTGATTGCGTCGCGATTCTCCCTTCCGTCCATTGTATAATCCTTTTACGGCCCTCAGAATACCACAATCGCCCAAATGAAGAGACTGCAACTCCAAAGATGGAGCAGTTCAGTCCTTTCGCCGCGGGCTCGGACTGTTAACCGTCTGCATCAACACATCTACGGGCAACGGTATCAATCGACCGCTCCCCCGGTCCAAGCCCGTGATGATCAGACAACAGCGATTTTCGAGGAACCAGCACCTTTGGATGAGCAATTGGCTCAGATTGTCAAGGACTCCCACACCCGCCACTCGCAGCTCCAATATCCCTCTCCCCCAGTCGAAGCAGCTCGACAATCTGCAAAACTTGCCGCTCTCCACGCTCGACTCTACCTACCTTCCAGATTACCTATCGAGACACTTGCACGGACACTAGTCGATGCATCAGCAGACCCCAACCCGAATTTCAACAATGCCTCGCTGGCCACTCTCGGTCACGACCTCCTTTCCTACTACGCAACCGAGCACCTTATTTGCACCTACCCTCGTCTGCCCTTGACAGTGATTTTTGCCGCCATGTACGCATACGCTGGGCCCAAGACCCTTGCCTCGATGGCACGAGAATGGGGTGTTGACTTGGCCGCCTTGCCCGGTGGTGAGGTCGATCCCGGTCTGTTGCAGTTCCAAAGGCTCGAGCCTGGCACCGAGCTTCCCTCGGGCCCGACCCACCCCACAGCACGCCCATATGAAGCACAGAAGAATTGGAGGAAAACAGTCACTTCTAAGATTTTCTACGATGATGAATTTGGTGACCCGCTCAAGGGAAACAAGTCGTCTGCGGCTGGTGTCACCACCGAGCAAGCGAGCGCTGAGTTCGTCCGAGCTGTTATGGGCGCCATCTACCTGCACGCTGGCCGCGCCGCTGCTAAGCGATTCTTCGAGCAACATTTCCTTTCACGACACCTCAACATCTCAGAATTGTTCAACTTCCAGGCGCCAGCCCGTGACTTGACCCGCTTGTGCGCTCGCGAGAGCTTCGAGCGTCCAGTCGCCAAGGTCATTAGTGAGACTGGCCGTAAGAGCAGACACCCCGTCTTTGTGGTTGGTATCTTCTCTGGTCAGGACAAGCTTGGGGAGGGCGCTGGCGCCAGTCTGATGGAGGCCCGCGAGCGTGCTGCTGTTGCCGCGCTGAAGGGTTGGTACCTCTACAGCCCGCTTTCTGTGCGCGTTCCTAGTGCGATGGAGGAGCCAACGGCCGTACCGTGGAAGCCGGTCCACGTTGACCTGGGCGAGGTCATTGTTTAAGATATTTGGTGCAATGGGATGCCTTGGTTCAAGGCACGGTAACATATTATTTCATGTCCCTTTTTTTTTTTGTCATCTCGCTTTTCTTTTTCCGGTGTGCTATTCTTTCGCATGGGAAGCTGGCTGGCGGTAAAAAGAGTCATCTATCCTGTCTCCTGCATGACTGGATCCTGTACATTATGGGAATTCCAATCCCTTCGATTCACCTGGTGTCTTTTTTCGAAATTTCCCTTATTGTTTTCTTCTCCGCTGTTTTACTCTTCTCCAGTTAGACATCGGGCAAAATCGTTTTGCCCCTGCGATCCAGATATAGAGCTGTTCTCAGATATCTATTGAATGCATACAAAATCAATATTAATGGAAGCTTTCTGGTCCTTTGAGTCCTTTGATCCTACTGGTTGTATATCTCTAGTTGAACAGATGGACTTAGTAATTCCTATTCATATGGACTTTACATCCATTTCATCACTCCGGGTTAAGAATCTCATCCTCCCAGTTCCCACTACTCCTTCCGGCACCTTCCTTTGTAGGATTGTCGAGATACTGCCCATACTCTTCCCACAATCCCCCAACCCCAACCCCGAAAAGACCCTCCCAGAATCCAATACTCTGTTTATCCACATCCTTCCCCTCCCGTTCACCAACATACCCAACTCTCAAAAGCCGATCATTCAGCATCCCCACTGCACCCCTCCCAACTCTAACATCCTCAAGCCACGCCAGGAAATACGCCGTATGCTGATACCCCATATCCCACTTCGGCGGCCTCTCCGCCGCAGACAGAGGACGTTTCCAGTGCGGCGGCTCCAAACCAGCCTTGAGCCTCACGAAGTCAGCTATGCCCTCGATTAGTCCACCCGGAGGACGGGGAATGTCCCCGTCACCATTTTCGTGGGAACTAGGCGGCGCGGTGTGTTGATAGCAATGCACAAGCTCGTGGGTCAAGACTCCGACTAGCTCATGGAGCGGGTCATCTTTCGCAGATGGACCGGATGTACAGTGCTGGATGTACGGGAGCGAGACGTGGATTTCCTTGTGCGCGTCGTCGAGCTCTGTGCCTGTTGTATAGGCCACCCCACTGTAATCGCGGAGGAAGACTGTTACGGATCTTGTTGGCGGAATGCTTGGTGTGAAGGTTGGTCGGTGGGAGGTCGCGGACTTTGGGGGTGAAGTATATAGGTATTTTACGATGTTTGCTAGGGCTTTGTCGAGTGTTGATGCGAGGTCTGGAATCAAGGTGAGGAAGGCACCTGAGGCTGGATGGCGTAGGTCTTCCACGTGCAGGCGCAGCTTTGGCTGAGGGATTGGTGAAGTGAGATTGGATACCAAGTTTGTTTGCCTTTCTTCTTTGCTAGAAGTGTTTGACTCTTGCTCTTTGGTGTTGTCTTTGGGGATGGCGGAGGGATGAGGTGCGGGGGCGGAGCTCGTCATAGTGTATTTGGGTATTTGGTTTAATTGATAGCGACTGACTAGGAGCAGATCTTTTATGGAGTTCTTTGACTTTCTGTATTTGTCTGAGGTGTATGAAAGTCTAGGTTTGCTGAGGACGGGGGTTCTAAGAGCTAACGGTTATGCTGACTAGATCGGCATTCGCCCTAGGGCCCGATGCATGGTCTATGAACTCCTACCTATATATACATACATATATTGCATTATAAACCATCCAACCCTTCAAACGCGGTCATCTCGGTAAACTTGAAGGCTGCAGTTTAGCACCCTCAAATACGCACCTTGTCGGCGCCGGTGATCCTTAACAGATATCATGCTCCACTTTGGCGATCTCGTGGGGTGCTAGGACGCTTTGATTCACGTTGATTGGAGTGAAAAAGAAATGTATGGGGTAAGATGTAATCGATTGGATGTCAATTGAGCCTTATATTGATCCTTAACGCGTGTTGGACAATGCAGTGAACATCTTGTAGTCATAGTATGGCTTTGATTGCTATTTTTATACCTTGCTTGTAGAACAATATGGAAAAATTCCGATTCAGGTATTTCTACTTAGCAAACATAAGTATTGACATTGAGATGTTGTAAACATGACGCTGTTGGTTGCCCATTGCGACGAGTGATCCCCAGTTAATAAACAAATCAGTGTTGGGCTCTTAATATGTGTGTTTTGGGCACAACCTCGCCATATTAGACCGGTGTAGATAGGAATAGACAGGTAACAACCTCGGTACATATGAAATAGCAGCTTCCCAATAAAAGCCAAAAGGAAGGGCAACCCCTTTTAATATCCCTCTACATCCCTCGCGCTTATCGTCACGCGCTTATCGCCCCTTGTTTTCACTCCGTCCGCTTTTCAACATCCCACCATATCGAGGTCAACTTTGCGCTCTTCCTCATACTTGGCTTTGTCGCTCTCATCGGATTCTGTACGTTATGACCCATCTATTTCGTCTCTGAACCCTTCGTGATGCTCCTCGCCATTCTTCTATTCCCGATATCCTATGCCCTTTTGCGACGATCCTACCCCATAACTATTTGATGCTCTCACTACCCACACGCGTCCATGTTATCTTTTTTTTTTTCTTTATCTTTACCTTTATCGCAATCGCAATTTCTCTGTTTTTTCTAGCTCTTACTCTCTTGCGCTGGCAGAATCTGCTGCTAACTTTCATCGTGGCTAGTGACAAATCGAAATCCGAGTCTGTTCTCCTATCCGCCATTGGCCTTGTCGCATTTTGATTCCCCTGGATCGTCCGTTACGTACACTCTCGTTCTTCTGTCCATTCCCTTCGGTGTCTGACCCGAGTTGAGATCGATCTCTCGGTGTTGACAATGGAGGCGAAGGCAGCGGAGCTACTGGCGGCCTTCAAGAATCCCAACTTGTCTGTTGATTCAAAGATCGCCTACCTATCTAGTGTCAAGTCCGATATTAAACAGAAAAATGTCCCCGAGGGAGCGATTCGCACCATTTTCGAAACATTGCGCCTCGCCCTCGGCTCCCAGCACTACTCTGTTCTCGGGGCGGGGTTCTCCACACTTGGCCATCTCTTGAAGCGTCTTGCAATTCAAGAGCAGGAGCAATGGATTGTCCACCACGCCCAAGCCTTGTATCCTATTCTCCTGGATCGTCTCAATGACCCCAAAGAACGTATAAGAGCCCAGGCCGCATCCATATTCACCGAACTGTGGCCATTTGCAGGCAACGAAGTCGAATATCATGTTCTGGAAGTTGCACTGGTTGGGAAAAATCACAGAGCGAAAGAAATGGGCATGCTTTGGTTGGCAAATGTAGGCTCATGCACCCTGCAAGGCTTGTCTCAGCTACTAATCTCGACCTACAGATGACGAAGAACCATGGTTTGTTGTTCCGCCAATATGTTCCTTCCCTGGTTTCGTGCTTAGAGGACGCCGATAGCGCCGTTAGAGATACGGCGAAGTTGGTCGTGATCGATCTGTTCCGGTAAGTGAAGCCATCCCTATAACCATGATATTTATTGAATGCCGCTAACCAGACTCAGAAACGGCCCCGCGAGAGCGAAGTCGGACCTGCAAAAGCAAATGGCGACACGCGGTGTGAGGAAATCCATCGCAAATGCTGTCCTCTCGGGTATTGGTTTAGGATCCGTTGAACCCGACACTGCATCCTCTACGCGTCCAATGTCTCGGGCTGAACGCTCGATTTCGGTGATGTCGTCACGTTCACATGCTATGGAACAGACTGATGATGGTTAGTATTTTATTTTCTATATATATTTTGAGAGATTTCCGCTGGTTGTGCTAACCTAATTGCAGAAATGGAGCCTGTAAAGAGCCGTCCAGCTTCCAGAGCTCATCGTGAACGACCGACAGCCTCTTCCACGCCTACAGAGCCACCAATTGTTAACAGACCCCGCACACCGGCCCCGACGCCAGCACCACAGCAACCGTTGCCAGACGATGATGGCTTGGAACCGTTCGATGTTGCCTCAGCGAGGGATGTCGATGATCTTGTGCGCGATATGCTCCCCTGGTTCGAAGGAAAGGAATCCGAGGACAATTGGTCAAAGCGTGAAAAGAATGTGATTCTTTTCCGCAGACTGACTCGAGGAAATGCGCCACACGACTTCTCCCAGACCTATATCAATGCAGTAAAGACACTCCTTGACGGTATCTTGAAAGTTCTCAACTCTCTACGAACCACAATGTCTAGCAACGCCAGTCTTTTAATTCAAGATATTGCCCGAACATGTGGCCCTAGAATTGACTCAATGGTCGAGATTATTATGCAGAACCTGTTGAAGCTCTGCTCGGCGTTGAAAAAGATTGCCGCCCAAAACGGAAATGCCACTGTCGAAGTCGTCATTCAAAATGTTTCATTTAGCATTCGCCTGCTACAGCATGTCTCTTTCGCGGCACAGGATAAAAACGTTGGAGTGCGCCTGTTCGCTGCGGGGTGGCTAAAGGTTTTGATCAACCGCCAAGCTCATCATAAAAGCGCAGTTGAACATGGTGGTGGCCTTGATCTCATTGAGAAATCGATTATGAAAGGATTGGGCGATGCGAACCCTGGTGTGCGCGAAGCATCGCGGAGCACCTTTTGGACGTTCTATGGTGTGTGGCCGGAACGAGCCAATGTGATAGCAGACACCCTCGACCCCAAGTCGCGGAATTTGCTGGAAAAAGATTCATCGAACCCCAACCCCCCTTCAAAAGGTGCAGCTTCATTGCCTGCAAAGAGCCCCGCTAAGAGTCGCTCCGCTTTACAAGAAGCTATTGCTGCTCGGAAGAGGGCCCAGATGCCTTCTAGACCCGAGTCGGCCCAGCCAACCTTTGCTGAGGCGAAGCCATCGGCCCCTGCCTCGAAGTCCACTCGGAGTGTCCCAACTGGGGCCCCACTCTCGTCTCTCTCTTCTGCGCCTATGAGACCTGCCATGAAGCCTCGACGGGCAGAAATTAGTCGTCCTGCAACCGCAGACCCCTATGCTCGTCGCCCTGAGTCACGAGCCCAGTCTAGTAGTACCCAGTCTACCCAATCTACCCGGCAAGCGACCACTTCCCCAAGGGCTGTGAGGTCAAAGCCATCAACGCCTACATCAAAGGCCACCCTAACCGCGCCTCGCACTCGCCCGCATGAATCGACACAAGCTGCTACAACGAAGGGCAGACCGAAGAAACTCGATTTGTCCAAGTCCAAGTCTCACAATGATCTTATGGCCGCGAGTCGTGCTCGCAGCGACTCAAACGAAAGCCTGGCCAATCAGCCATCCGCAAGAACCCCCCGTCAGGAAAGCTACCTCAGTGCATCCGAGGATCAACGCTCCCCCGCATCCGTCATGTTGGAAAGCCCTCCCCTCAATCCATCACAGCCTCTTCTGTATGCAGCACCGAATGGTCCTCACGCAGACTCAGTCCCTGTTGAAGAACCAGAACCGATAATATTGGAGGAACCTGTTGTTGCCGCACCTCCACCTCGTATCCCCGAACCGAATCGTGCTGTATCTCCCGCGCCAGTATCTCCTGCTCGCCAGCATCCAGATCTGGACTTCGGTTCTGGTCCTGTATCTGCTGCCAAAGCCCAGCCTGAGTCAATGGTGATCTATGAAGATCCTACTACGCCCACTGTAGACAGACACGAGACTCCTGACTACGCCGCTTCGGTGGGGCATTTTACCCCCGCAAAGTCGTCTCCCAGCCGTCTTGATGAATCTGAACATGGCGAAACAGCAGAGGCTCAACCTATCTCCGAAGATACCTCAGTCCCGGTAGTGGCTCCAGCTAGGATGCCTACACCTGATTTGGCCCCTAGGCAGGAATCTAGTATGAACTTTGAAGTTCGGACTCCCTCTCCAACACGCCGGGCGCCGCTTCAACCAAGCCCGTCACCAACGAGGGGCCGTGTCCAGCCAGCGGCTTCTAATATTATGGGCATTGAGGCCGTGCTTCCCCAAGAGCATCATATCGGAACGAACGGGGCCGGTGGCAACAATGAGAATGCGACTCCACACCTGGCCAAGATTGTAGACTTGCCTGCGGTCCCGCGGTCTGCAGCTAAGCCTAGTGCCCTCGAAGAAGTGACGGCAAACGAACCTACACCGCGTTCGCCAGAAGCGAGACAGAGATCATTTGAGTCGATACCTCCATCACTCTCCCAGTCTACGTTGTCCCAATCAACAATGTCTGAAGATTCCACACGACGCAGTCGAAAGTGGGTTGATCGTCACCGCAGCCCTAGCCCGCGTTCGAAGGACCCGGCCAATGCTAAGGAAATGATCCATAAAGGCCTTGCTCGTATTGTCTCGAGAACCATGGAGCCCTCGGGATATCGGAAGCTACAGGGACTCATCCAATACCACGGCGATGACATTATGTCCCAAAGCCAGGACTACAATGCATTGCTGGAAGCCCTATTTGCGGAACTGGAGGCGACCCCTTCGAACCGCAAGGATCATGACGTGAAAACCCAAGTTTTGGCCACTATCCGTTCCATGCTCCTACGGACCCGCGAGCATTTCCACCCCCATGACACTCGTGCTATGGCATCTATTATCCGTGCCCGCCGCCACTACGAGTCCACTTCGCACTTCGTCACCTGCCTAGAGGAAGTGGTAGACAAACTGGTCTTTTTGACCTTGCCCCAGACGGCGATCGTCGGTGTTCTGCAGGGATTGGATCTTGGAGCAGACGCAGAGAATGATGAGACGTACCGGTCCACTATAATGGGCCTGAGTACTATCCAGCAGTCACTATCGCGCCCCGGTGTTGATATCGACGATGAACTCCTGGCTCGCATTGGTGCTGTGGTGATGCAACAGCTTGGACATCCCCGACCCGGCGTCAGGAAGAACGCCACTGAACTCTGCACATTCTTGAACATCACCTTTGGATCCGAGCGAGTACAAAAAGTCACCCAGCCTCCTCGTGAAGGATCCCTTAACCTCCTGACCTACTTCATGGCCCGACGGACCCAGTAATTGTTTCTTTTCTTTTTTTATCCGCTTAGGACTACATGTGTATGTGTTTAATTACCCTCGGTAGCGTGGTGGCGTGTCAGGCCGTGGGATTTCCGGTGTACATAGGTTCTTGTTCCATATTTTATTTTGAAAATTCATGTTTGTATGTTTATTTCCTTGCCAGTATATGAGTCTTTTCCGTATGGCCCCAGACTCAATCCCTATTAGAGCTAGTAGGAGCACCCTCTCTGTTCTGGCAACCCACCACCAGATATAAACCAAGCTAGCGAGATACAAAGACTCTCTTTGTGTTATCTCATAAGACTTAATATACTTTATTGACGCAAACAAAGAGGAACATGCCTTGTACAAAGGCATTGTGGGCTTAGGATGAAAATCTGCTTTTTTGATAGATACAAAGACGACAAAGAGCATCTTTAAGATCAAATACAGTATCGACACTCAAAATGTCAAAGTGAACAGTACATGATGGCCATATAAACCGTCCTCTTCGCCCCGAATACTATATCTCATCAGCGTCCACCTTTGACTAACCAAGCCACCAGCTCTCTTCTCATACTACCTAAAAATTCTCAACAACCAAGAAGTTCCAAACAAGCTTGCAATCATGGCGATTTGGAAGCGTGAAAAGGATCAAAAGCAGACTCAACGCTTCCCAATCGAGGTAGCGGAAGCCTTCGAGCCCGAGGATGATCTTCTTCGTCAAGCGCAGCGAACCGGCTCTCCACCTGGCAATCTCCTTTGCATGTACCCAGACGCTGCACCAGGAACCAGCCTTAACCAGTTCCGTTTCCAGCTCCACCGCGAAAACGGGGTTCAGCCCGGTCTTGTCGGTTACCTGGAGAAGTATGTCGGTGCTGCACACTTGGTCTGGAGCATGTGCGCTCTTCTTGCAGATAGCGGTATTGATCCAGAGTGGAAAGATACATTTGAGGTGTGGCGCCCACAGTGGAGACAGTTCGCTACGAGCTTTGAAATCCAAGGAAATACTTCACGCACTTTAAATGTTCCCCCTCGCCAGTTAGTATCATGTGGATTCAGGCGCCTAACAGCCTTGATACGTATAAGCTTTATGCTGTTAATCACAAGGAGAATAAGCGTGATCGGGATGCTCTAGATGATCTCTGGAAGTGGATGCTTGATGTGCCACCCGAGGCGATTGTTAATGGAGTTTATATCATTAAGCTTGGGGTTGAGCCTTGGTTCCCTGGTGAGTAGAGAGTATTTCATGGCTCTAGTAGTACGTATGAGTAGTCGTTTACTGTTTTATTTGGCTATATTTTTCTCTTTTTTCTTTTATATTTTGGTGCATGATCTACGAGATGCTTAGTGGAATCGAAATAGACCAAAAACCAATGTCAATTATGTTCGAATTTGAAATTTCAAGTCTATAGGTAGGTTTGCTGTAAAATTGCAATGTAGTAGAGACAGAGTAAGCAAAAAAAAATACAAAAGCGCTTCGTTGTCCACTCTTATATGAATGGTTGTACTATGGATGCATGGCCCCGGGGCCCGGTCCAGGGGATAATGCCCAGGTGGATGGGCATAGTTATATCGTTACCTAAGCATATGATCTCCAGGCATAGACACGTGACATGATCCACCTTCCCCTGTTGGTAATATCTGTGTCCGTTCTCAACGCGGATTCTGGTTCCCGAGATTTTTATAAACCAACTCCCTCGGATGAGGGGTTCGCGGGAGTGCGGGTAAGAGACGAGCTCAGTTCTTCTAGTAGCCCTACGGATTTGTTTGAATGACAGGAGAGCTTCGGGTTTCGGTTTCCAGATTTGTACTCCAGAATTCTGATAAAATAGCTGTGTAAAACCCTAGAAAAACTAGGTACATTTTGTCTAATTTCATTTACTAGAATACAATCTACAATATTTCTTGCAATCCGTTGAACATAGAAACTATGTCTAACCTCCCCCAGGTCCGTTGGGGTATCATTGGTAAGTCTGAATTTATTCCTGAAGGCTCTTGGACTTCGAGGTTGATGTTTGATGTGCGGTAATCTAACGCCTTCCATCAGCTACTGGCATGATATCCTCATGGTTTGTGGAGGATCTGGTTCTCGACTGGCCGGAATCCAAAGTAGAGCATGTTGTCCAAGCTATTGGTACTTCAAACATTGAAAAGGGTCAGGAATTTGCGACCAAGTACTGCCCAAAACAAAGCCCAAAGGTCTATAGCTCTTATGAAGAAGTCTATCGCGATGCAGATGTGGATATTGTATATATCGGAACCCCACACGGGTTCCATTATCGTGATTGCCTGGAAGCGATCTCTGCCGGGAAGAATGTCTTGTGCGAGAAATCTTTCACTCTGAATGCCAAACAGTCAAGGGAGATATTCAACGCCGCTCGTGAAAAGAATGTATACGTGGCTGAAGCTATGTGGCTCCGACATCGACCTCTTTTCATCGAACTCCAGCGATTGCTCCACGAAGAGAAGATCATTGGGGATGTCTTCCGGGTGTTCTCGGATTTTGCATCTGGTGTTGATGTTGCCTCACTTCCATCCACATCCCGATACCGCAATCTCGCATTAGGAGCGGGGTCATTGTTAGATATTGGGGTGTATTCACTTACCTGGGCGAGATTGGCGCTGGGTGGGAGTGCACCCGATCAGGCAGAGATGCCGCGGATTCTGGCTGCGCAAACCCATGAAGAAGGGGTTGAAGTGACCACCAGTGTGGTCTTGCAGTATCCCTCGACTGGAAAGCAGGGTATCGTTACTTCAACCACCAAAGCCCTCGGTGCTCCTGGTGAAGTCTTTGCTGTTATACACGGAACCAATGGTTACATTGAGGTAGAAGGTAGGACGCCATCTGCGCCGGAATCTTTTACTGTGTGGACGAAGCAGGAAGGGAATCCCGATCGTGCATATTTCCCCAGGGAGATCTGTCAAGGGAAAAAATATGAGTTTCCGACTCTGGGACGTGGTTTTGTCCATGAGGCTGAACAAACGGCACTTGATATTCTCGAAGGCAGGAAAGAGAGCAGGGTCATGCCGTGGGCTGAAACACTGTATATGATGGATATCATGGATGAGATCAGACGGCAGGGTAACACAATCTATCCTGGAGAGTGAGGAGACTTGGAATCTGTTTCGCTGACAGCTCTGTCCGGGTGCTGTTCTGTTTCAAACTCATATAAAGATATACTCTGCAAAATGAGCTCTAGTAGTAATATACTACCACTGACATAAATGTATACTGCACTCCATACGCATGTAGAACCCCTAAGAGTATCCAGTGGCGGCGAACGATTAGTTCTCACTCATGTTCCTTAATGTTTTCTTTTCCTATCGTTAGAAATCCACGGGTACCCAGACTTTGTTATAATTCGAATTAGGAACTAGTACTTCTTTGAATTGCTCTTCTTTCTATATTCTAGTAGTATAAGAATTGGGGACTTGGCTCGACGACGTCTTTCGACGTGAAAGTAGTATGGGAGCATCTTGTCTCGATATCTGCTACACCAGACCCAAGGAATGTACGAAGACTTGCAATTTCCATATCAGCCTGTCCCCACATCACAGGCTTTTCTGCAGCATCGATGTCATCTGGTGGCGGATGGCAAGCAGCACTGATGGCTGCGCTACAGTTCATTGCAATCGGCATGGCAGCCGATTTGAACTTCCGAAACATCAAAATGAGAACGACCACGACAACAATCAGCCAGGGTATAACCATAATCCTCAAACCAACAGATGAAGTACCCACACCATGTAATGCTCGGCTGCGATCTAGATTACCCTGAACATCTCGGGGGATGATTTGCACGAATGACAAGGCCTCAGAGGCAAGCCAATGGGCAAGAGTGGACAGCACAACAAACGGCACACTGTACCGGTATGGTATAGAGAGATAGTATGTCGAGCGCTGTTCTCCAGTGGGAAATGAGACCCGAAGGGGCTTGCGTTCGACGCCGAAATCGTTGTATTCGGCGGCAAGCAGCATTCGAGTGAGAGTGTTGTTGTAGACCGCATAGATTATTGTAATCACAGCCTGTGGGACGTTCACAGCCAATACGGTAGCCATGAATCCCATATATGCCAATGGGTAGAACCGAGTATGGTACAACGAAGTGAGTTTCTGTTCCCATGATGACATGCCATCTGAATTTAGATCTGCAGGCTGGCTAATGCCAAAAATAGAGGTATTATAACCCAAGGCGAGACCCGCCATGACAAGGAGAGCGACTTTGAAGAACAGAAGGAAAGCATACAATCGACGGGGTAGGGCAGCTGACCATCTTTGTCGGACCGTGCCGATCCTTTTTGGTTGTGGAGTTGGGCTCTGTCCCAAGCGGAATGGCACTGCGCGGGAGAATATAGATACCCAGGGGTAGTCATTAAAACGATGCAATTCTTTTGGCTGTCCTTTATTAACTCGAGCCATGAGACAGTTATTGGCCGTGTAAGGATCGGGACATGTCAGAAATGACTTGAGGGCATCGCCAACTGTCAGAAGAATCTCCGACCGGCGCTCGAGGGCAGTGATGAGCATGCATATTAGCTTCAATGCAATACAGCCCATGACCACCAGACCAATGGGCAGACTGCATCCAAGCTGACAAGTTGGAGTAACTGGTCGACTGAAGCAATCATGAACCAGAAAACTGTCGATGTCGCTAGTCGGCGGCCAAATTGTATAGTTACCCCTGTATTCATGTATTGCACAAGTCAATTCGGTGCCCTCATAGGTACTGTCGGTAGAGAGATCACCACCGGAATTCAGTCCAACCCGGCATGACCAGGCCGTTAAATTTGAGGAAAGATCCGGGCTCAAGAAGACGACCGTGGATCGGGCGGTTTGATAAGCGCCACTATAGGCTTCCATACAAGTAGCATTGCTCATTTTCTCGAGCTTACCGGATATGAGATCATCATATAGGCTGCTCGCGTTCATGCCAACTACATGGTGGAAGTTGGAGGGGATATCAAAATTAGACAAGTCTGTGTGGTTATTCCCAAAAGCCATCGGGGCAACAACAGCCCCAAAATCATTGGCGTTGATTGAAACGTATATGAAGGAGTTGTATCTGAAGACGTTGTATATTAGCCGGAGCTCTTCTGCCCGTCACAACAAGAAACATACATCATCTGAACTGGCAAAGATGTCCCAAGAATCAACAGCCATAGTGTCTTGCGCCAGAAGGGCGCGTACCAGACGTTGGTAAAACTGGAGGATCCAATCGATACCCACACCCGTTGAGCGTGAGCAATATCGATTCTTGCGCGTGACGGCGCAGCGAGGATTTGATTACAGTAACTGCTTGTTGCAGTCAAAGTCAAAACGATGATGTTGACAAGAATATGGAGGCCGGTCGCGATTTGGTTCGCCTGGTGGCAAGTGCCTTCATAGACAACGGCCGACGAGGAACCCCATCCATAGCCACCAGAAGCAGCTTTTGAGGCCAATTTGACTGTGAGAATAACATGGGCGAGTAGCGCCAGTGCGACTCCCAACGCGCAAAGTAACAGCCCAGTAATCCATCTTTTCTTGGTCGGTGGTAGTGGTTGGGGTGATGGAGTACACTTCAAATCGTCATCTGCCGCCGCTTCACAATCCGGGGTATCACAGTCGTTGACCTGTTGGTATGCCTTTTGGTCTATAATCGAAGGCTGCCTTCAACGAGAAGCAGTTTGTTAGTGGCGATCGCAACGCAGATCTGCGAATGTTTGTTCGACGCTCACTTGGAAAGTCGCAATGTATCAAGTGGGATAGGTTCCTCCTCCCTATTAATTAAATGCTCTCGCGAGGTATGGAGGAGAGATGCCGAGGCATCGCTCTCGAGCAAGCCCGTCATTTCATATGACCGTAAGAACCATTGGGAAACATTCCGTTAGCAAGGGCGCATACCTTCAATTTTATTGTTAAATTATAATTTTGAATACCCTGGTTCCTAGCTGTGTTGGGGGCCAAAAGTGAGCGTCCTTCAGGAAATTGGTGGCTGGCCCTCACACCGCGGGCTGAAGACTGTCGATTGGGCAGCAAAGCGGGTCATCATTGAGGCATTGGCCCTTTGATCGTCCGAGTCTTACCCTCCACAGCCCATGGCGGGTTTGAAGGGTCGTTCAGATTGGCCTTCATTCTCCACAGTCCCCGTATAGCTGCGCCTTGCGAAAAGGCTTGATTGGTATTATTAGCCTGTCCACGAACACCTTCAGGGTAGGATAGTGGTGGAACTAGGGTGTCTGCCTTTGGCCATGACCATAGTCCCAGGGGAGAAATCATGTGAGTGACTGGAGATATCTTCATCTTTTGGCCTGGGTTATAGTCAAATTTAATCACTTATTGGAACAAAATTCTACCCGAATAAAAAGAGTATACAAGAGAGAACGGAGTAACTAACTAGTTAACTCGAGGTAACTGATGGTTGACATGTTCGATATGTTTGCTTCAGGCTTCACTGTTGCAAAGCGGACCTCGCTCCTTGATCTCTCACAACAGAATTTAGGGTCGTATCTTCCCCCTACTTTGTAGATTTTCTAAACACATGCCCTAAGAAAAGGGGGCAAAAAAAGAAATCTCAGGTTTGGTTTTTAGGAATAGCCGAACGCGGGGGTCGAACCCGCAGCCTTAAGATTAAGAGTCTTACGCTCTACCGATTGAGCTAGCCCGGCCGGGCTGTTGAATGACGGTGCGATATAATGCATGACTAACGATTCTCTCATCTGGGGCATTTCAGATTGGGGAAGCAGAAGCTTCCCAGTTGAACTATGAACGTGAACCGAGAAGGCGAGACTCCGATCACTGTGTAGGGAACAGAATTTCCATGTTGTTAGATTCGCCGAACCGACTCCAGCCAGTGAATGTATTCGCAGCGCGAATCCAGTAGCCTCCAGACCCATTCTTCATGACAACAGCAACAGGTGCTATCTTGAGGTCCCATTCGTTCACAATCATAGAATTGACAAATATGACTGACACCTTTTGACCTCTAAGATTGGCGCCGGAAAAATCCAGACCTGTATAATCGAATGTTGTCCAGTGAGATACCACAGCACACGCAAGGTTTCCAGAGCCGCGCAGAGCTAATGTGAGAGTCTTTGATGTATGATCTTCCGAGAACCGAAGACTCTGGCAGACAGATCCGGTAGATGTATATTGCAGTGTTGTGAGGCGTATATCCCGAGCAATCTCAGCAACCGACTCTTCTTTCAGCTGCTGAACAGAGAATTTACACCGGAGGGCACCAACACTACAGCGAATGTAGTATGTTCCAGCCTTTGGGGGCTCAAGAAAGCGACGGAAATTGATAACCCCAAGGTAGTCCACTGGATTGGGGGACGTAGCTGCAGGTTGATGGGAATAGATGGATTTCAGATACCATGCGGCGATAATGTCGTTTCGTGTGAGTTGAATCTCGGGGGAACAGTCTTTCAGCTCTCCCTGGGATTTGACCCGTAATTCGTCGACCCATGCGCCTGGAATGTAGATAAACTTGGTTGTAAGCTCCTCAAGGAATCCAAACTTCATGGCAAGGAGCGTTAGTAGCACATGCCACACAGTCATTGCTAGCTTAAATATCCCACTGTCGTAATTCTGCGCATGCGTCTGGGAGTAAAAACTGGATTCAGTTTCGGTGCACTCATTTTTGACTTTCATCAGATCAGACATGCGGACATCCCCAGCGTCAGGCGGAAGCGCAAACAAAGGAATTGGCTTATTGGACAGTAGGACACAGAATGCTTTAACCACTTCCCAGCAATCATTGCCGTCACAAATATGGTGCGCGATTCCAAAACACAGTAAAGTAGCATCTTGTAGGAGAGTAACGCGAAGGCGGAAACTGTTTGCGGGGTTGGGGGGACGTCGAATATGAATTTCTCGTCAACTGCGGAGATTTCTGGGCTTTTCATAATGTTTGGCTCGTTGCTATTTTGGTCGTGATGGATAGGAAGACATGTAGCCAGTGACTGGTTAATCGCCCTGCTGGTGTAATCAACAGTACTGCCACAGGTGAAGGACCATGGTTTTGTCTAGAAAGGACATAAGCAGGCCATAGTAGTGGTAAAACGAACTCACGTCTTTGATCAAATCACCACCAAGTATTGGCCATAATCCAACCAACTCGGTGAGTTTCCCCTTCAAAATTGCCGAATCAAGCACGGCATCGACAATCAAGCCCGCATAAATGGTACTGTAATTTCCCAGACAGCTGACACCTTTGCAAGTGTATTTCGAAGAACCCAGGTTTGGATCATCCATTTCCAGGTTTGAGGGGAGGTGACAAAAGCTCCGAGTGGAAAGAAGGGAGGTGAGGGCAATATTGATCCTATGTTGGGCACTTTGTGCTAGGCCGTTGTATAAAATAAAAATAAACGCCGGTGATTTTGTGTCATTTCCTCCGTCATTTACTACGAGTAACCTCGGGGTGAATATAAATCATCTTCTTGGGGGATTTAAGTTTGAAAATGTGCAACATTTGCCTGTTTTAGCCGAGAGTGGGACATATGTAGTACCGACAGCACATATCAACAAAGAGTACCGATATACTAGGAGTCTCGCCTCCTATTTACCTCTTTCACTGTCGTTTCTTGGACGCATTAACCCACGGAGTGACGCCATATATCGTTGCAAATCCCAATGTGTTGCATATGCAAACCATGATCTAAGAGTTGGACCTCCTACCTCTAGATATATATCTATGATGTAGTTGGTGAATATAATGACCCCCATAGGAAATGTGGTGATAGTCATGCCCTACGAAATACTCAAGGTTCCTTAAAACCACTCAGCTTCTTTACTAAGAACCCAGCTCGAGATATTCTACCTAGCAAGGAAGTTACAAACCGAAGCACTCTTATCACTTAAATAGCTAAGCGCTAGGCCTTTGCCCGAAGAACGTTCACAATCAGCCTATCACTTGTCACTTATAGGTGATAGGATATTTAACTGTATCAATCTCTGTTAATCAACCAGTCGAAATTCAATCAAAGCCTAATGAGAATTCGAATAACATAATTGAGTCAGAATAGTAGGATAGGACTATATGCGTGCTTCTTCCAATTGAAGCAGCAAGTCGGGTCTGTGCCCCATAAAACATGAGGATTCTAAAATATATTTACAAAAGAGTAAATGAGCCGAGCCTGCAGATGCCAAGTTTAGCAGGTTTCTAGAACCGATCGCCAGATTTTCCTGTTAAGGCTGTTCCGCTCGGCAAACCTGCCCCGAAACTGTCAACTCGGTGGATATTATTCCGATCTCCCCAAGATCTCGGGGAGGAGGCCGGGGTGACTGACGTTAGGCGACTCCACCTGAACATTGCATTGTACTCCATGTTTCCCAGCTGCCCCTCGCTCGGAGACACGCCGTGGAACTCGGCTCAGTTGCCTGAGATGGGCTTACCCGGCAAAATGGATAGAGGGGAAGACAGAGGGTTTAAAAACTACCAACAAGGGTTCCTACAAGGATCATTAAAGCAGAAAGCATACTTCCGCATCGCTGCCTGAAACATACCCTTATAACGCCTGTTTGAGTTGGCAACTAAGCAAATCTATTGACTTCAGGATGGCAACAACATTAACCGGTGGAAATCCACACATAATCCAACTGCCCAAGACACCCTCCGACGTACCCTCTCACCCGAAAAGCATCGCCCAGCAATGGCTGTCAGCTCTCGAAGTCCAGCTCTCCCATCCAGAGAACTTGAACATCAACGAGCTATTCCACGCTGAGTCCTGGTGGCGCGACATGCTAGCCTTGGACTGGGACATGCGCACCGTACACTCAGCCGCCGAGATTCAAAGCTTCCTGAGCAAACAACAAGCCACTGCACAACTGACCAAGTTAAAACTCCAAGATAACGGTAACTTTCAGCCACGCCTGGAGCAGGTCGTTGACGGATTGAGCTGGGTGTCTTCCATGTTCTTTTTTGAGACTGCCTTTGGCACTGGAACGGGCATGTTGCGTCTGACCCAGGCGGAGGATGGAGTTTGGAAGGCTTATGCTATGTACACGTCACTGCAGGAGCTGAAGTCGGCTCAGGAGCCACTTGGAAAGCGTCGGGCTGAGGGGACGACAGAGTCGATGCCTGGTGGTCTGGCTGGGGGCACGTGGATTGAGCGCAGGAACCGAAAGAAAGAATTTTTAGACGAAGAGCCCACTGCTTTGGTTGTAGGGGCGGGTAAGGGATCCCTTTGTGAGGATAACTAGCTATAATTGATATGCTAACAGACAATAGGCCAGGCTGGATTGAACATGGGTGCACGTTTACAGAGCATCGGCGTGTCGTGCTTGATTATTGACAAGAGTGAGCGCGTTGGGGACAATTGGCGTAACCGGTACCGGGTAAATAACATCGGAAGAACCTGATCTAAGTGATGGGGAGAAATGCTGATTTATCGCGATGTAGACTCTTGTTACGCACGATCCAGCCGAATTCACACACATGGCTTATCTGCCCTTCCCACAGAACTGGCCACAGTTTACACCGAAAGACAAGCTGGGTGACTGGTTTGAGGCCTACGCCAGCATTATGGAGTTGAATATCTGGATGCAGACCTCAATCATCTCAGCAGAGTACGACGAAGGTGCAGGCCAATGGACTGCTGTCCTCACGCGCGGCGATGGGTCCCAACGCACCATCCGGCCTCGTCATCTTGTATGGTGCACAGGACACTCAGGTGAAGCGAAGATTCCCTCCTTTCCCGGACAAGAATCTTTCCAGGGCAAGGTGTACCATGGCAGCCAGCACCGCGATGCGTCGGAGAGCGATGTGCGTGGCAAGAAAGTTATCGTCGTCGGGACTGGTAACAGCGGCCATGATATCGCGCAGAACTATTATGAGAACGGCGCAGATGTCACTATGCTGCAGCGCAGTGGGACATATGTTATAACTGCCGAAAAGGGTGTCTTTATGATGCACAGTGGAATGCACGAGGATGGGGGGTACGTTTTCTTATACTCACATTTCCCAGATTCACGTCATATTAACACCAACATTGTAGTCCACCAACTGAAGAATGTGATATTGCCTGCGAGAGTCTCCCCTGGCCTGTTCAATTCGCTTTAAGTGTACATATGACGAAGAAAATTGCCGACGCTGAAAAGGAGACCCTAGACGGACTCCGTCGGGCTGGCTTCGAACTTGATTTTGGGCCAGATGGAGCTGGTATTGCACGCGCATACTTTACTCGTGGCGGAGGTTATTATATCGACGTCGGGTGCAGTCAGCTTATCATCGATGGCAAGATCAAGGTCAATCACAACCCGGGTGGTATCAATGGCTTTGGGAATCGCGAGCTGCTTTTGGCCAACGGTGATTCCCTGCCAGCGGATGTTGTTGTCCTTGCCACTGGATACGATAATATGCGCACGACAGTAAGGAAGGTCTTGGGTGACAAGGTTGCGGATCGGTGTTCCGACGTTTGGGATTTGGATGCAGAAGGAGAGGTTCAAGCTGTAAGCTGTCATCTACCCATCTCGAGACTGTCACTTGTGATCTTCCCTAAATGCATGCTAATTAACCTGTTCAGATGTGGCGCCCCAGTGGTCATCCGGGCTTCTGGTACTTCGGCGGAAACCTCGCCTTATGTCGGATCTACTCCAAATTTTTGGCACTTCAGATCAAGGCTATCGAGTCTGGAATATCAAAAGGCGTACGACAGTAGGTGCAGGGGCGGGCAACATGCTTTTGCGATTTTGTAAATTGCATTGGATGCGTAATGGAAGATTGATATTAGGGATGTTATATGTCTGAATACTTCGATGGATTTTTTTCATGTTCTTTTTATATGTATACGAAGGAAGTAAACAGTATAAACCGCACGGATGACTGTTCCCTCTATAACCAGGCATTCTGATATTCTGATGTATCTATGCACTCCGATGGTGCGTCATATCCCAAATGGTGCGTCATACTATAATAGCCTCTCGGTTTCCAGCTCCTCCTCGTATGTATCGCCCGCAAATGCCCCATGAATGACAGAATATATTCCTAGGAGTGGCTGTGCGTGGGCTTTACATTCTTCTGTCAGATCGTGGTGACAAGAGTTATACATTCCACTGGGGCCTCTATCTACACCAAGCTATAAGTTCGGGCTTTATCTATCATCTGGTCAATACAGTCAACTCAACCACCTGGCGCTTCGAACCCAAGCCTAGCCGGAATGTTGCAGATTCCCAAGCACTAGGTGGTATTTAAGGGAGTAAAAATTAAAGATTTTCATTACGAGTAACGGGCGTATGACCAAGGGAACAGGGCTCACGATATGTAGATAGACCACGAAGCACCATGGAAAAAAAAATAAAAATAAAAATTACTCGTAGAGAAACAGAGAAGGGCGTGGGGGACTACTGGTTTACCCTGAGAGCAAAAGAGGGTAGTTACCAGGTCGCCATCTACAATCTTCCCTCCGCATCGTAGTGATCCATCTAGCTGACCTCCCTCCCTCAGGTTGATCTGCCATATTTTATCGTTCTCCCCTTGAGGTGGGGGCAACATTCCTTTTGTGTTTGAAATGACGTGCATATTAATGAGCTGCAGTTCTGGGAAAATTTTGGATAATTTCTTCTTGCATCCGCCACACGAGGCGTTGTTGTTGACCTTCCTAAAAGAGAAGAGCTAACCGGACACGTGACCGGATTTCCCGTTAACCGGCAAACATATCCCCAACAGGCAGTTAACATGAATTCGGACTAAGCCACAGTCTGCGATCGATACACATCGGCAGATCTTTGCTTCTGTTACTAGTGGGTTTAATTAGCCGGTGTGTCGTTATTAAGATCTCATGAAGATACGGCAACCATGAGTGAAAGAGGGTCGGAAATCGTCTACCGGGCGGAAAATGTCCCGATACGCTTCTTTAAAGCATGCCGATGGTGCAGAAGGCAAAAGATGCGTTGTGATGCACGTAGCCAAGTCCCTTGCTTCCGCTGTCGCTCTACCGGCCGGGATTGCATTCTAGATCCGATCGATGATGGCCGACGACGAAGCGATCGTCGGCGGAAAACAACAACCCCCGCAAGGTGACAACTGAAATATCGGTCTTGCATATAAAGCGGCGAACTAATATACTGTCACAGAAATCAAAGCACAGCTTCACCGCTGGATCCTAGGACCGGATATCACACTCCGGCATCAAGAGATCAGGGGTTCTCACCTGCCACCGTGCAAGATAGCGGCTTTGACACTCCGATTGATTCTTTACCCGATTCTACTGGGTTAAGCAGCCTCCAACGGTCTTATACGTCTGATGCGAATGGACCGGATTCCCAGCAGCTCAGTCCCAATGAAATGATCGCGCCTGCGTCAGCGGTACACTCTATGTCTGTGAATCTGCTAGGCACTAATGATGTGAGTCACAGTCAGACCACCCACGGAATCGGCATATATCTAACAGAGCAAGATATTTATGGAAAACTCAGCTAAGGGCGATCCCAGAGGAGATGTCGTCGCTCGAGGAATCGTTAGTGAGGAGCTTGCTCGCGTCATGTACGAGAGGTATGATACTAACAGTCAAGCGAAACTGCATGATCAAATCTAACTGCTCTGCTACAGGTTTACGGGTGGATCGAAGAACTTCCTCCCTATTTTTGATCCGATCAGAGACACATTCGACTCTGTCCGTTCAAGATCCTTGTTTTGCTTTACGGTGATTATCTATCTGGCTAGTCGTGCAGTGACGGATTTGCGCGGAGACACGCATATGCAGCGTGTGCTACAAGATGAGGCACAACGTTTGGCCGAAGACAGCTTCTTCGAGCGGCCCACGAAACTAGAAACAGTCCAAGGAATGATTCTCCTAGCTGCCTACTCCGAAAAGACATGGTTCTCTATTGCTCTCATTCTTCGCACCGCTCTGGATTCTGGATTAGAGAAATCTCTGGACACTCTATTGTCCCAAGAAAATGTACCCCGGAGTTCGCTCTCAGCTTCTATGGCTGAACGTGAACTAGTGTGGAAGACAAGAACCTGGTTGATCACTTTTATATTGGAGCTGGACGTCGCATCTGGCACGGGACGCAAATCACGCATTGCCGAGGTCGATGTGGTAAAGCTGCGCAAATTCCTTGACTACCCACTCTCCCTGCCCTGTGATATGCGCACTGTGTGTATCATTGAGCTTCATCAACTTCGAGGTAATGCGAACAAAGCTGCAGGTGCGATTTGTCTGTCAAATGGCTAACACGTGGCAGGTAATTCTCGGGTGATTATTGATAACTCTTCGAGTATTGGTGATATTGTGTCTACAGAACTACCAGCCATTATGACAAGATTGCAAAACTGGTGGACGACGTGGGACGAGATCCATGAAAGTAGGCTTACTTTTCTTGCTTTGAATGCACCCTCTATCTGGACCAATTCTGACTTGAACAAAACTCGAAGACAACGGTTTCCACATAGGGGCCTTTCAACGCAGTAGCCTGAAGCTCATGCTTCATTATGCCAGGATTTTTGTTTTCTGTGCTTCGCTGGCAAGGATTCAAAAATTACAACCAACGTACACGGATTCAGGCTCCGAAACGCTCGACCAAAATGTGATGAACCTGTGGCAGTCCCTTGTGACGACCATCATGGAGCAATTAGGATTTTTGATCAACGAACCATCCTATCGTTGTCAATTGCCTTGGGCGCCAACTTATCCAGCTCTCACAATCGCTTTCGTCAGTAAGTTGATCATTTCCTCAATCAGCTACATACAATTTGCTAAGACAGCTTTAGCAACATTCGCTCTTCGTATCGCCAGATGGCGTCCGAATCTGATCAATCAAAGTCTTCTACTTGAACGAGCAGAAAAGATCTGTGATTTCCTCAAACAACCCCCATATCCCGACATCCATCGGACTGTCTCCATCTTCGTGAACTATGCACGCGCTTTGATTGCCAGCCAGCGTCCGCAGAGCAATCATAGTGCAGATGTACCTATCATTTCTGATCAAAATGAGGGCCCAACATTCGAGGCGTCGAATAACCCCATGATCAACGGCCCGCCTCCATCAGGGGTGGGTCCCCTCGACGATCTCCGCTACAGAACTGGCCCGACCATCCAGGCCGATAAAGATTCAAATATGGTCTCAATGCCAAGTAGTGACCCATCTGCAGTGGCCAGAGCGCCAATATCTCGGCTATCCGGCACGATGGAAGCACCCAATTGGACTGTATCGAACTCTATTGCAGATTCTTTTGGTCTGTTTGAGGAGGGGCAGAACGATATCTTCGATTTCCTACCTATGATGCCATCAATGCCACAATAATAATAGCAAACCCAATACACCTTTTATTGAAGTATTAGATCACTCCAATGCCACTGTTCAAACTGAGTAAATCACGCAAGCACCAAGCTCTAACCTCGTAGATCAATCCTGATACTTGTTTCAACGAACAACAAATTGGGCCGCAACGCGCAACGTATTATGCTTCTTTATTCACATGTGTTTAGTCCCATCGGTCTAGATCCCCACTGAAAACGCAGTTATAGCAATCAATTTGTGCGTCGCAAGCAGCCATCCATGTCCGGATCCTGTCCGGCGCCGCGAGTGGATTGCTCTAAACTCCGGTCCCGTACCGGGCCCGGGTTCCCGTGCAAAAAAATCGAAGTATACCAGTCTCCCATTGGCTTGTTCCCTACTCCAACGTGGTAGATAGAGGCATTATGCAAGACCAACAGGTTCTAGGCAAAGTGAGTCAAAGAATTGTTAGGATTTTCACTATGGGTCCGCCGGTTGCAATGGGAACGGAAATATTTCTACATGGCTTATATAGAGCTTCGGTCCTCATCTACCGGAGCTTTTGAGAATCAGAATAAAAACATACTTCCAATCTTCTTCCTTTTTGTTCTAGTTTACCCCACATTTGATGGTGCAATATGGCGTCAGAAACAAAACAATCTTTAACGGCTCAGATAGCCGCCATCCTTTCTTCAGGTGCGATCAAACCTGAACTGATATTTCACGGTCTGCTCTAACATACCTTAGACAAGAATGATAGTTCTGATAAGAGGTCCCTTGCTTCGACGGAGAATAATCAAAAGTCAAATGGCGATTACCAAATAGTTGAACTGTCTCAAGATGAACTACTGGTCGAGTTTCAAGAGAACTCACCAAAAAACCCTCCAAACTGGGTCTTTGTACGCACGTCTATATGTATTATGAAGAGATATTCACTAACAATATTGAAACCAAATAGAAGAAAAAGTTCTACAATGCAGTTGTGGGGCTATTTATTGTCCTCAATAGCGGCATATCATCCGCACTTCCTAGCAATGCAGTCCCCGCTATCATGCAGGACTTCCACGAGTCTGGAGACCAACAAAAGGTCTTACCAACTGCCGTATTTCTCATTGGATATGTGGTTGGACCCCTACTATTCAGTCCATTGAGTGAAACTATTGGTCGGAAACCCGTCCTCCTTTGGTCTTTCACTATTTTTGTCCTCGCTACACTTGGTTGTGCTCTGGCACCAAATTGGTCCTCTCTTCTCGTATTTCGGACTATCTGTGGTCTCATGGGAGCTGCGCCTCAGACTGTTGTTGGGGGTATTTATGCAGACCTGTTTTTCGATCTGCGAAGTCGTGGTCGTGCGATGGCGATGTATATGTCGGTATGTTGTGATCACATACCTCATAGGTGAAATATTTGAATAGTACTAATATATATTCCAGGCTTGCAGTTTTGGTCCTATTCTAGGCCCGATTATCTCTGGATGCTCGGTCAAATATGGTTGGAGATGGACTTTTAGGATTGACCTGATTCTGACGGGTATTACCTGGTTAGCTCTGCTCTTCACGTCTGGTATGATTATCACTTGGCCCCGGCAAATCGTGGCATCAGCTAATCTTAAATCAAAATAGAAACGTTTGGACCGGCACTCTTGAAGCGACAAGCTGGCAAATTAAGAAAGGATTCGGGGTCCAATCGATACTTCTCACGTCAGGAGCTCAACCTAGACTCGAGATTCACCCCAATGGAGATTATCACTCGTCCCATCACGATGCTTTTCTTTGAGCCTATTATCACATCAACATCCATCTATATCGCCATCGCATATAGTCTGGTCTTCTTCTATTTCCAGGCCTATCCCATCATCTTTGGAGGTAATACTCCTGGAATTGTCATGAACCCGTGTACAATACTAACAATATATTGATAGGTGTCTATGATTTTACCGTCGAACAAACTTCTCTCACATACATCCCGAGTACGTCCCATCTCTGCTCATCTATATCCCCCAAACACGACTAACCCATCACAGTTGGCGTCGGCGCCGCATCTTCCGGCTTCGTCGCCCTCTACTACGACATAATCTACGAAAAAGCCAAAAAGCTCAACAAAGTCTGGACTTCCAGCCCAGAGTACCACCGACTCCCGATGTCCTGCATCGCCGGGCCCTGTCTAACAATAAGCATGTTCTGGCTCGCCTGGACAGCAAAGTCCACCACGCATTGGGCAGCGCCCGTGATGTCAGGGTTTATCTTCGGGTTTGGATTCCAGACCATCTTCATTTCGCTTCTTACCTACGTGACCGACGCATACAAAATCTACTCTGCCAGCGCACTGGCAGCTTCCGTTATTGTGCGGAGTATTGCTGGAGCACTTTTCCCGCTAGCTGCTGAACCGCTCTATAAATCTTTCGGGGTTTCGTGGGCTACTTCCCTCCTTGGGTTTATTAGTTTAGCTTGCATTCCGATTCCTTTTGCTTTGATGCGATGGGGTCCTTGGATTCGGGAGAGAAGTCCCTTCTGTCAGAGGTTGATCTTGGAGGAGAAACTCAGGTCTAGTGGGTCGAGTACACCTGCGCAAGTATAAAAGCATTTCTTGTCTTTGCTGTTCTTTTTGCTTTTTGGCTATAAATTTCGGGATTCTGGTTTATTGGCCAGGAAATAATTTGGTACGAAATAATGACTTGATACCTAATTTATAATGAAGATTATGATTTACAGTCTATATATTCCCCGTTATTCTCCTATACTATGTAAGAGATATCAACAATTCCAAATAATTCCAAATAATACTAAAGAATCAAAGAATACTAGAAAATAGTCGAGAATAGTCGAATAAAGAAAGCTAAAGCCGATCCCATAACCCGCGCTAAATTGAAACTTCACCAACCAGAACGCCTAGTTGCCTCGCGGCTTTAAAATCACTTCTCTCCACTTTCACAAGGTCCGGGATCGCGTCTTGCTTTTCTTGATCGTGACTTTGTTTTTGTTTTTGTTTTTTTATTTATCCCTCGCCTCTCACAATGTACTCCCATCTTGAAGCCGAAGGCACTTCGGTCACTATTGCTCATTGTAAAGCACAGAACCTGCCAGTTGGTTCGCGATCCCGAGAATTCCCGAGGTTTCAGTGTCTGATAATAGTACTAACCGGATAACGCCGATCAAGTCGATCGCATTCTTGAGCCTCAAACCATCGTACATTTTCTTGAATTTGCGTTTGGTAAGCCCCTGCCCAATGGTAATCAACCCAATATCGAGCGCTTGTCCACAGAGGAAGCAACCTTCATCCAGCCTGACCAAAACTTTCCTCCGGACTCCAATGGCGAGTCCATCATGACCAGTGTCATGGCCCGAATTGGCTCCGAGCGAGATTCCACCCGTCTCTGCATGGTCGGAAAGAACATCCAATCCCTCAAGTCCCGCCTATGGGAGGGCATCATCCCCCTAAGCGATCAGGTGTGGCAGGAAAAAGGCCTCGACCGACCTGAGCATTTTGATTTTGCTTGTCAACATCTATCGGCCGTGGTCGCCGTGTTCCAGTATTTGAATGAACCAACCGTGCGATTATATCTTCGTGACACGTTCAATTACATCTACGATCATTGGACGGAGCTCGACGCTGTTCTCAACAAGCGCAGAGCAGAGCAAGATAAAAAGCCCGTTAGTGTCGCAGGTCTCTGGACAAGTTACATGACTGCGCATTTCGAGATGATGACCGAGCGCGCCCATAGATGGGTTACCGTGCATGTCAATACACTGCGAGCTCCCTTACTGCAAGCCCTTCTGGAGTATCGGCCACCAGGAGGAGATGGTGGCCCGTTAGCCCAACCTGATGCTGTGCAGTGGAAGATAACTGATTCCCTGCATATGCTGGCGGAAATCACCGCCAATGCTGATTTTACCATCTTGATTCCCATGAACGGTTACAAGGGGTACTGGGCGGATGCCCCGCGGTCCGGCCCGGCAGCTCTTCATGCGGCGAATCTGCTGACGAGAAGCAAAGCATACCATGAGCGTTTAAGGCTGCTCACTCGAGAAGCTATCTCCATTAATGCACCTGCGTGGAGAGGTTCAACTCCTACGTCCGGAGAATCGTACCATGGAACATCCCGGAGCCAGATTCAAGGCCAGAATAAATTGAGGAAGGAGGTGCGTGGTGCACCTCTTGAACCTATTCCCCGCGAGCCTTGGATCGCTGCCTGTGCCTCCAATATGGAATCTGGAAAGAAGGAGGGAAAGGACGAAAAGTACGGGTTGGCTGTGTATCGGTTGACTTATGGGCAGACGGAGTCGGAATGGACAGAATTCGTTCGCAAAGTCGAAGCTCATGTTTCGGATTGGGGCAAGGGTCAAACAGGAAGCAGTGCTATCAAACAGCATCTGAAGCTCCACTGGCTTGATGGGAAGGAATTGGGTATTCCTGAGGGCGATGTCGATGCATCTAAGCAGTGAGTGTACCCCCTTCGCTCTTGCATTTCGAAGCTAACAATCCAATCAGACACTTTAAAAGCACGATAGCGGGCAGTGACGACTGGTCGAAGCTAGAAGATGGCGCCTTCCTCGTCGTCGATTCCGCATCTTTTGCCTCATACACCACCAGATCCTACAGTCCCGCGGCATCCCGGCTCAACCCCGGTGACTTCACCGGGTTCCTTCTCGCCGTCGACCCAGATTTCGACCCAGAGGGCATCCCACGACCAGACGAGTCTCCAGGCTACAACGGTCAGATGCGAATTCTCGGAAGTCTTGTGTGGAGTGATCTCTATTCCCTACTAGCAGCGCAGACATCAGGCCTTGAAGACCACTGGCCATTAGCAAGCGAGCACCCGAACATGGTCTATGTTGGACCTACAGTCCCATGGCAGCGATTCATCTGGCAGAAACATAGTGAGATGCGCTGGAATATCCTTCGGGCGGTGATAGACCATTTAAAGCTCAACCCGGGAATTCCAGTAACAACGCAACCACCCCAAGCCCAAGATACATCTACAACGACATCCCCTACTGCAGCTACATCTACGGCCGTGCCAGCAGTCCCATCGGTGGGGGAGGTCCCACCACCCCAAGTGAAAGCTACATCTGCAATAACGTCCCCAACGGTAGCTGTATCTACAGCCGCGCCAGTAACCCCTTCTGTGCCCTCATCCACACCAGCCGCAGAACAGGATCCCATCAGCGACGCTTCTATGCCCTCGTCAACACCACCCGCCGAAGAGGCTCCCGTCAACGACCCTCTCCGCACAGTTATGCTCACTGAGTTTCAGCGATACTTACGCCATCGGGGTCACCCGTGGCGGGCGGCCATGGTCGATGAACTGCTCCGTCTTCAGCCAGGCGAAGAGCCGGATGCAGGGCGGCTGCGGCAGTTAGTAGACGACGAGAATCAGCGGCAGGAGCAGCGGAGACGAGATGGTCTGAGTGAGGACGAGGAGACTTTGGGGGAATACCGGCCGGACTGCCCATTGCAGTAACCAGGGCTGTGTTTATTCAATTGTGAATATTTCCCATAATGGGATAGAATTGATTAGCTTGCTGGCTAGTTTGGACAAAAATTCATACATACAGATCCGACATGAGAAGACGAAATACTTTCCAGGCATTGCAGTCTACCTAAGGAAGATGAAGCGTCACCATCAGTGCTGGCATCAAACCTCGGAAACAAGGACACATCCTAAATCCCACCCCAAGATTCAGAACCAAACTCCTCTTAATTTCATTAGAACTCGCCCCGACGAGTTCGCTTGCGGGGACGGTCATCCGGGTCCGCAGCCTTATGCCAACCAACCTGGCACATGTTCCCGGTCAACCCCATTCCACAGCAAGGATAGAAAAACCCCTCTGGCCAAGCTAGACGATATTCATCACTGTCAATATCATATCCCGCGGCAATCTCAGCCTTGAAATACTCCTCGTCGACCACGTCAGGCTCTTTTCGAAGATTAGTCACATTTTAATCTGTGCCATGCACTGACAAATATGCTTTGGGGATATACGTACCAAGATGATATTTGCAGCTTGTCTCTGAATTTTGATTGACTTCGAAATCCTCCAGACAGTAGATGCAATTCTCGAAACGGGATGTCATCGGGACACAAGCGATTGACTCTTCCTTGGCAAGTAGGGCAGAAGTAACGGGAGCAATCGGAGAAATGGGGGCAGCTGACTCGGATCTCACATCATTCTTCACTGCTAGTAGCCATTTCGTAGCGATTTTGCGGCCTTCTTGGCTGTGCTTGACAATGTCCTGTAGGATACCCTCCAGGCGGTGGATAGGTTGGTTTTTAATTGCCTCCAGTAGGAGTGGCAGGTTATCTGGTTCTTCCTCAGGTACAGGCATGCTAGCGGTTGCTGAAGGATGTGCAAATGAAGCAGGGGAAAATGAGGGTGAAGATGTGTGCTCAGCATGTTTATGTGTTGGGGGGTCTAAGGTACGTCGCGCCGCGTCCTGGGGCTATAGAACAGACATAATTAAGCGATGGAGCGGTGGAGAGAGCGGTAAAAGTGATGCTAAAGTGGCAATCATCATATATTTTCTTTGAGACACCGTTTTGCAACAGAGAAACTGAACCCCATAGTTATACAAAAGCAGGGCGCCTTGGAGAAAAGGCATATGTGCAGCGAACGAGCCCCTCTATTGGTTTTGTCCCATTATATTATGCCCACTGGCTTCCGTATGTACACACACATGGACTATGAACCAATACCAAGATGTCAGTATAATCGGTACATCGTCAATTTAAGACAGAAAGACCCTGAGCCACGAAATTCCAATCTGAAAAATCGACAATGTTCGGATCCCAACTATCAATATCGAGGCCTCCCTCAAGCTGAGAATCCTCAGTCCCAGTCCCATCAGCACGAAGAGGACAATTGTCGTTCACAATTTGCTGACTCCGCTCAACAGAATCATGTCCCTGGCGAATAGACCGTGCCTTATTCCGCAACTGAACAATCATCGGCCACTTCGGTCCGGGGTCCGGCCAATTAGGGTCCTCAGTCAGATGGAACTGCATATCAATAGCGCACCAAGCTCGGTCGACGTGTGGACCGGTGGGATAAACACACAGAACCCAGAGAATGTAGGTGAGGAGGTGATATTGGGTGAAAGTCATCATCAACCAGCGGAAGCCACGGAGTAATTCGTTGCTGTGCATCTCAAGACCAATCTCCACGCCATCGCAAGCTTGTGCTAGCATCTCTTGGATAACATTTTGGTTTAGCGAGCAGGCCGCTGGTCCCTGTGACTGTACCTGTTTCTGCCGAATGCACACTTCGGTCTTTATAAGAAGTAGCCTTCCGAGCAGGTAGCCGAAGCGCTGGACTGGGATGTCTGGGTCGCAGTGTCGCAGGTATTTATCCTCTATTGAAGCTTTGAACTCGGCGATGAGTCGCTCCGGATCGGCTGCCCCCACTAGGCTTCGAATTAGAGCAGGCCGTCCCCTGTTTATTTCGATTACGATTAGAGAGAATGTCAACTCGGTCCATCGGTTCTGCGATACGGCTGGGACGATGTTCGTCTCTGATAAGCTTTGATCATCGATATTCAGCGGGAGTTCGGTGTCGCCGTAGTCGCTTTCCGGGACGCTG